ACGGTGCACGTATTTGTTCCTGTCTGTCGTGGGAGTTTCTCCATCAGTCAGTCAGGCAAGCTATTGGCTGACTACGTGTAAACGTGACTTGTCAACCCAGCAGCAGCAGCCTATGAGGAGCACTGTTATAGTCTTAGAGTGGCAGCGATCACCGGGGTGCCTTGTCACCGTTATGAACAGGAGAGATGTTTCTCTTCCGCCTGAGGGTGATGTTGAGGAGTCTGCAGCGGCTGTGGTTGAAGCCCGGGGCTGCTCAGGCTGAGGACCTGGAGTCGCAGAACCCGTGGCCACACCTGTTTGAATATTTTGTCTTCAAATCAAGGGATACGAAAAACACGGGTAATCTTCTTGTGGCAGCGCCACTAGCAGGAGCAACAGCCAGTTATCACAGCCGCCTGCAAAGAAAGCACGCCAGACCACCATTGGCGAAGCATTTGTTGCTGCTGGCACTAGCGTCCGTCAGTCTGTGGTGGACACAAAGATTGTGGACCTGTTCGTCTGCAACACACTACCGCTGTAGATGAATGGTTCACAGAATGTAGATGAATGGTTCACAGAATGTAGATGAATGGTTCACAGAATGTAGATGAATGGTTCACAGAATGTAGATGAATGGTTCACAGAATGTAGATGAATGGTTCACAGAGCCGACAAGTTGATAAATTAGACACATGTGCAACACTTGGGTATCTCATACTACCGCTGCATAAACACCTGCAGGAGTATCTTGTAAGGTATTTATGATTATAAGCGCTTATTAAACCACTACTTAAGTTTTTTTTATATTTTCTTAGTTTTAGTGGGTATTGCAAGTTATGAGAGTTTAAAAGTACAGTAACTTTCCCAGTCTTGTAAAGTAATAAAGTACAGCTACTTCAGTAACTTTTCTCGGTGTTTACTTTTCAAAAATTACTGATGATATAACGAGTAACGTATCGTTATCAGATTGTAGTCAAAAGTAGTAAAAGTACTGAGCAATTTCAGTACTTTTTAAAAAGTTAATACCGAAAAAAGTTACTTAAGTACAGCACTCAAGTAGCTTTACTAGGTGACTTTACAACCCTGGTACTTATACTGGAATATTAAAGGTGAATATTGTTTGTTATGGTGCGTCAGTACAGCGACAAGTGTGTTCTCGTCTGTCACTATTTTCCCACTAGCGCCACTTGATCATCATATAACCTTGATACTCTATATCTTATTAGGAAGATCTCCAGGTCGGTTCTCAAAGTCTTAAAAAGAAAAGACGAGAAAACTAAACCGTATCTGAATTCATGTGAAAAAGTTAGGGGTTAGCGTTTAGTGTTAGCTTCCGCTAATTTTTTCGGCCGTTTAGCGGTTAGGGTCAGCGGAGGTAACCATACCAGTATCACCATACCAGTATCACCATACCAGTATCACCATACCAGTATTACCATACCAGTATCACCATACCAGTATTACCATACCAGTATCACCATACCGGTATTACCATACCAGTATCACCATACCAGTATTACCATACCAGTATCACCATACGAGTATCACCATACGAGTATCACCATACCAGTATCACCATACCAGTCTCACCATACCAGTATCACCATACCAGTCTCACCATACCAGTATCACCATACCAGTATCACCATACTAATCTCACCATACCAGTATTACCGTACCAGTATTATCTTACCAGTATCACCACACTAATATCACCATACCAGTATCATCATACCAGTAGCACCACACTAATATCACCATACCAGTATCACCATACTAAGATAACTTGTGAGTGAGCTAAGATAACGGGTTATCAGTTATATTCAATGCTATTAAATATATCAGTTTTATCAAATGAAGCTTTTGTATTAATGTTATCTTTTCTTGTTTACAGGACTAACGTGGAGTGTGGAGTGGAGTGTGGAGTGGAGTGTGGAGTAGAGTGGTGTGGAGTGGAGTGTGGTTGTGGGTAGGTAGCAGCTGGTTGAAGATGGTCATTAACACGCCACAAGGTGTACTTCCTGACACTCCTGGTGTTAACTTGGGTACTTCAGAGTTCATGATGTTACTGTCTCGCTCGCTCCTCTGAGTGACCAAGCTCTCTCCTCCCTGAATGTCAAACTGTGTTCTCTCTACCAAACATACGTTCTGTCTTCTCTGGCCAAACATACGTTCTGTCTTCTCTGGCCAAACATACGTTCTGTCCTTTCTGGCTAAACATACGTCTGTCCTCGTTGGTCAAATATACCTTCCATCCTCTCTGGCCAGTTCAACACCTGACTGTAACCAGACTGTTGTTACTACTAAGTGGCTGTCTCCCTACACGTACATGTGACTGTCTCTCTACACGCACATGTGACTGTCTCCCCACAAGTACATGTGACTGTCTCCCTACACGTACATGTGACTGTCTCCCCACAAGTGCACAGGACTGTCTCCCTACACGTATATGTGACTGGAATATCTTGTCTGTACTGGGAATACCAACGGTTCAGTTGAACTTGTAATGTTAGTTACAGGCAGTGAGAGATACAGTGACTGGTGATGTAAAACTAACATTACTAACAACAGGCAGTGAGAGATACAGTGACTAGTGTTGTAATGTTAGTTACAGGTAGTGAGAGATACAGTGACTAGTGTTGTAATGTTAGTTACAGGCAGTGAGAGATACAGTAACTAGTGTTGTAATGTTAGTTACAGGTAGTGAGAGATACAGTGACTAGTGTTGTAATGTTAGTTACAGGCAGTGAGAGATACAGTAACTAGTGTTGTAATGTTAGTTACAGGTAGTGAGAGATACAGTGACTAGTGTTGTAAAAGTTAGTTACAGGCAGTGAGAGATACAGTAACTAGTGTTGTAATGTTAGTTACAGGTAGTGAGAGTTAGTGACTAGTGTTGTAATGTTAGTTACAGGTAGTGAGAGTTACAGTGACTAGTGTTGTAATGTTAGTTACAGGTAGTGAGAGTTAGTGACTAGTGTTGTAATGTTAGTTACAGGTAGTGAGAGATACAGTGACTAGTGTTGTAATGTTAGTTACAGGTAGTGAGAGTTACAGTGACTAGTGTTGTAATGTTAGTTACAGGTAGTGAGAGATACAGTGACTAGTGTTGTAATGTTAGTTACAGGCAGTGAGAGATACAGTGACTAGTGTTGTAACGTTAGTTACAGGCAGTGAGAAATACAGTGACTAGTGTTGTAATGTTAGTTACAGACAGTGAGAGATACAGTGACTAGTGTTGTAATGTTAGTTACAGGCAGTGAGAGATACAGTGACTAGTGTTGTAATGTTAGTTACAGGTAGTGAGAGATACAGTGACTAGTGTTGTAATGTTAGTTACAGGCAGTGAGAGATACAGTGACTAGTGTTGTAATGTTAGTTACAGGTAGTGAGAGTTAGTGACTAGTGTTGTAATGTTAGTTACAGGTAGTGAGAGATACAGTGACTAGTGTTGTAATGTTAGTTACAGGCAGTGAGAGATACAGTGATTAGTGTTGTAATGTTAGTTACAGGTAGTGAGAGATACAGTGACTAGTGTTGTAATGTTAGTTACAGGTAGTGAGAGTTAGTGACTAGTGTTGTAATGTTAGTTACAGGTAGTGAGAGTTACAGTGACTAGTGTTGTAATGTTAGTTACAGGTAGTGAGAGTTACAGTGACTAGTGTTGTAATGTTAGTTACAGGTAGTGAGAGTTACAGTGACTAGTGTTGTAATGTTTTGTTACAGGTAGTGAGAGTTACAGTGACTAGTGTTGTAATGTTAGTTACAGGTAGTGAGAGTTAGTGACTAGTGTTGTAATGTTAGTTACAGGTAGTGAGAGATACAGTGACTAGTGTTGTAATGTTAATTACAGGTAGTGAGAGATACAGTGACTTTGTGTTGTAATGGGTTAGTTACAGGTAGTGAGAGATACAGTGACTAGTGTTGTAATGTTAGTTACAGGCAGTGAGAGATACAGTGACTAGTGTTGTAATGTTAGTTACAGGCAGTGAGAGATACAGTGACTAGTGTTGTAATGTTAGTTACAGGTAGTGAGAGATACAGTGACTAGTGTTGTAATGTTAGTTACAGGCAGTGAGAGATACAGTGACTAGTGTTGTAATGTTAGTTACAGGTAGTGAGAGTTACAGTGACTAGTGTTGTAATGTTAGTTACAGTTAGTGAGAGTTAGTGACTAGTGTTGTAATGTTAGTTACAGGTAGTGAGAGTTACAGTGACTAGTGTTGTAATGTTAGTTACAGGTAGTGAGAGATACAGTGACTAGTGTTGTAATGTTAGTTACAGGTAGTGAGAGTTAGTGACTAGTGTTGTAATGTTAGTTACAGGTAGTGAGAGATACAGTGACTAGTGTTGTAACGTTAGTTACAGGCAGTGAGAGATACAGTGACTAGTGTTGTAATGTTAGTTACAGGCAGTGAGAGATACAGTGACTAGTGTTGTAATGTTAGTTACAGGTAGTGAGAGTTACAGTGACTAGTGTTGTAATGTTAGTTACAGGTAGTGAGAGATACAGTGACTAGTGTTGTAATGTTAGTTACAGGTAGTGAGAGTTAGTTACTAGTGTTGTAATGTTAGTTACAGGTAGTGAGAGATACAGTGACTAGTGTTGCAATGTTAGTTACAGGTAGTGAGAGATACAGTGACTAGTGTTGTAATGTTTGTTACAGGCAGTGAGAGATACAGTGACTAGTGTTGTAATGTTAGTTACAGGCAATGAGAGATACAGTGACTAGTGTTGTAATGCTAGTTACAGGTAGCGAGAGATACAGTGACTAGTGTTGCAATGTTAGTTACAGGTAGTGAGAGATAGTGACTAGTGTTGTAATGTTAGTTACAGGTAGCGAGAGATACAGTGACTAGTGTTGCAATGTTAGTTACAGGTAGTGAGAGATACAGTGACTAGTGTTGTAATGTTAGTTACAGGAAGTTAAAGATACGGTGTTCTAATCCACCTGTGTCCATGTATGTCAGCTGGTTCCTATATGCATGTAGTAGTTGTGGTGATGCAGTTGTTTTTGCAGGGGGTCGAGTCACAGGTCCTAGTCCCGCCTCGTAACTGTGTTTTAGCTAGGTGGTCAGTGAGCTGCCACCAGACGAGTGTCAGCAACTATGACCTATACTTAGACTGTGTTGCCTTCGCTGCAAGGTGAAGGAAGGCAGAGGGAGTGATCACAAGCGGTGTACACACTGTGTGCAAGAACACCTTGTGAATATTTAGTGTAGTGTGCGTGTGTGTAAAGGAAACGTAAGGGAAGATGGAGTGATATACCACAAGAGGCAGATATCAAGGGGACATCAGTGAGGCTAGTGGCCATGGATCACCTGTCTCTCGTCCTGCACCTGACATGGCTGCTCCTACTCACCTTCCTGCTGACTCCGAGACTAGGTAAGTCTGCTCATTCTTTGCTCCCTTCCTTTTCCTCTTCCTCCTCCTCCTCTTCAGAAAGATAACCTTGATGTCAATATATGTAGCCCCGCTGTGCCACTTTCTCTGCTTGTTTGTTCGTCAAGACAACAACACCTTGTGCTTCCTACCTAACTCTTGCAGTATTGTGTATACCAATGTATCAACTTGTATTTCAGATGAAGGCAATGTATTAGTGAAGAAATACTTGATTTTCTTTGTCGCATATATATAATATATATAATATATATATATATATATATATATATATAATTATATATATATATATATATATATATACATCAGAAACAAGCAATATTTAAAATTATTTTGATGTAAATGCCATCAGTACCATATGTAAGAAATTACTGTCTGATTACTCAATTGAAAAACCTTTGCAAACCTTTTAGATGTACTAAGTGTGTGTGTGTGTGTGTGTGTGTGTGTGTGTGTGTGTGTGTGTGTGTGTGTGTGTGTGTGTGTGTGTGAAGGGTGGAAGACATAAGGTCAAGCCATAACGTTAGTTGATCTGCTTGACTAGATTTCTACTGGGTTAACTCACTCAGACTAAGCCATGCAAGGTAACCCACTCTCACTGACAGAGACAGAGAGGGAGAGAGAGAGAGAAGCAGAGGCAGACACTCTGATAACCTAACTTACAGACACACATGCAGACTGATAGATACATGCAGACTGAGAGAGACAGGTGGCGCTGATGGCCAGGAGTGTCTCTCCCTCTCGCCCATGTCTATCACCTGTCTCTCTGTGTATCTGTTACCTGTCATTGTGTGCCTGTCACTCCCTCTCTCTCCTTGTGTCGCCTGTACCTCTGTGTCACCTGTGTGTGTGTGTGTCTCTCTGTCTGTCTGTCTGTCTGTCTCTGTCTGTCTGTCTCTCTCTCTCTCTCTCTCTCTCTCTCTCTCTCTCTCTCTCTCTCTCTCTCTCTCTCTCTCTCTCTCTCTCTCTCTCTCTCTCTCTATCAACAGAAGTTGCAGTAGTGTCGGCTACCTGAGGCTAGTCGTCATGGATACGTGTTCCTACACACAATCTTCGGGTCTGGGCACATGTGTATCTACACACAATCTTCGGGTCTGGGCACGTGTGTTTCTACACACAATCTTCGGGTCTGGGCACGTGTGTTTCTACACACAATCTTCGGGTCTGGGCACGTGTGTTCCTACACACAGTCTTCGGGTCTGGGCACGTGTGTTCCTACACACAATCTTCGGGTCTGGGCACATGTGTTCCTACACACAATCTTCGGGTCTGGGCACATGTGTTCCTACACACAATCTTCGGGTCTGGGCACGTGTGTTCCTACACACGTGACGAAGGACTGAGTTTCGACCAGTCTTGGCACTAAATGACCCACTTGAGTTTAGCGCTTCATGTGAGTAACCCAGTACTGGACGGGTGTACTGCAAGGTCAGTTCTTCCAGTGCTAGGTAGGCTTCCCTCTCTTTGTCCTCAGAACTGTCTGGATTCTTGGTGGCATGGATACAACACTGTGTTGGAAACATTACTTAGACATTCATGTTGACAGCATCAGGCAGTGTTGACATGATAGCATCAGGCAGCGTTGACATGATAGCATCAGGCAGTGTTGACATGATAGCATCAGGCAGCGTTGACATGATAGCATCAGGCAGTGTTGACATGATAGCATCATGCAGTGTTGATATGATGGCATCAGGCAGTGTTGGCATGACAGCATCAGGCAGTGTTGGCATGACAGCATCAGGCAGTGTTGACATGATAGCATCAGGCAGTGTTGACATGATAGCATCAGGCAGTGTTGACATAATAGCATCATGCAGTGTTGATATGATGGCATCAGGCAGTGTTGGCATGACAGCATCAGGCAGTGTTGGCATGACAGCATCAGGCAGTGTTGACATGATAGCATCTGGCAGTGTTGACATGACAGCATCAGGCCGTGTTGACATGATAATATCAGGCAGAGTTGACATGACAGCATCAGGCAGCGTTGACATGATAGCATCAGGCAGTGTTGACATGACAGCATCATGCAGTGTTGATATGATGGCATCAGGCAGTGTTGGCATGACAGCATCATGCAGTGTTGACATGATAGCATCAGGCAGTGTTGACATGACAGCATCAGACAGTGTTGACATGATAGCATCTGGCAGTGTTGACATGACAGCATCATGCAGTGTTGACATGACAGCATCAGGCAGTGTTGACATGATAGCATCTGGCAGTGTTGACATGACAGCATCATGCAGTGTTGACATGATAGCATCAGGCAGTGTTGACATGACAGCATCAGACAGTGCTGACATGACAGCATCAGGCAGTGTTGACATGATAGCATCAGGCAGTGTTGACATGACAGCATCAGTGCTGACATGACAGCATCAGGCAGTGTTGGCATGATAGCATCAGGCAGTGTTGACATGACAACATCATGCAGTATTGACATGACAGCATCATGCAATTGCTGTTGCAGAACTGTCGACTGCACATTCATGCAGTGAGTCTCCCCTTCATCTACATCTCAGAGGTTTACTACAAATTCTGGCCCTACTGTCTGCAAGTCGAAGCAGAAATCGCGATCCGTCATGGCAGGCAAAGTTTTGTGTCTTCAGTTGTCCAGTTTTGTTGTGTCCATTGTGCTTGGCTGACAGGAGTCGAACCCGGTGTGGTCTGTACTGCTGTAGCCCATCAACTTAAAGATTCGACGTATTGTGCGTGCAGAGATGCTGCTGTTGTAACTCGTTGATATTTGAGTTACTGTCACCTCCCTGTCAGCATGAAGCAGCCTGGCCATTCATTGACCCCTCATTAACAAGGTGTTTTCGAACATATAACTGCTGCTCAGTGAATATTTTGTATTTTTCACAAAATTCTCCGTAAACTCAAGAGACTGTTGTTCGTGAAAATCTCAGAACAGCAGTTTTTGAGATGCTTAAAAAACCCTGTTTAGTATCAACAATAATTCCACAGTCAGAGTCACTTTGATTAAAATATCTTCCCTATTCTGATATTTGATCTGAACTCCAGCTGAATCTTTTGACCATCTCTGCATGGTTTAACGAACTCAGGTGCTGCCACCTGATTGTCCGATTAAATATATTGCATTAACGAGCAGGTATGCCTAAGTATATATATTATATATATATATATTATATATATATAATATATATATATATATATATATATATATATATATTATATATATCAACAAATCGGCCATATCCCACCAGAGCAGGGTGGCCCAAAAAGAAAAACAAAAGTTTCTCTTTTTAAATTTAGTAATTTATACAGGAGAAGGGGTTACTTGCCCCTTGCTCCTGGTATTTTAGTCGCCTCTTACAACACGCATGGCTTACGGAGGAAGAATTCTGTTCCACTTCCCCATGGAGATAAGAGGAAATAAACAAGAACAAGAACTAGTAAGAAAATAGAAGAAAACCCAGACGGGTGTATATATATATATATATATATATATATATATATATATATATATATATATATGCTTGTACATGCATGTGTAGTGTGACCTAAGTGTAAGTAGAAGTAGCAAGACGTACCTGAAACCTTGCATGTTTATGAGACATAAAATGGACACCAGCAATCCTACCATCATGTAAAACAATTACAGGCTTTCGTTTTACACTCACTTGGCAGGACGGTAGTACCTCCCTGGGCGGTACAGATATATATGTGGCAATGTGGCAGATGTTGCAAGTGTATGGTGTAGGAGGTAGGTTACTGAAAGCAGTGAAGAGTTTTTACGAGGATAGTGAGGCTCAAGTTAGAGTATGTAGGAAAGAGGGAAATTTTTTTCCCAGTAAAAGTAGGCCTTAGACAAGGATGTGTGATGTCACCGTGGTTGTTTAATATATTTATAGATGGGGTTGTAAGAGAAGTAAATGCGAGGGTCTTGGCAAGAGGCGTGGAGTTAAAAGATAAAGAATCACACACAAAGTGGGAGTTGTCACAGTTGCTCTTTGCTGATGACACTGTGCTCTTGGGAGATTCTGAAGAGAAGTTGCAGAGATTGGTGGATGAATTTGGTAGGGTGTGCAAAAGAAGAAAATTAAAAGTGAATACAGGAAAGAGTAAGGTTATGAGGATAACAAAAAGATTAGGTGATGAAAGATTGAATATCAGATTGGAGGGAGAGAGTATGGAGGAGGTGAATGTATTCAGATATTTGGGAGTGGACGTGTCAGCGGATGGGTCTATGAAAGATGAGGTGAATCATAGAATTGATGAGGGAAAAAGAGTGAGTGGTGCACTTAGGAGTCTGTGGAGACAAAGAACTTTGTCCTTGGAGGCAAAGAGGGGAATGTATGAGAGTATAGTTTTACCAACGCTCTTATATGGGTGTGAAGCGTGGGTGATGAATATTGCAGCGAGGAGAAGGCTGGAGGCAGTGGAGATGTCATGTCTGAGGGCAATGTGTGGTGTGAATATAATGCAGAGAATTCGTAGTTTGGAAGTTAGGAGGAGATGCGGGATTACCAAAACTGTTGTCCAGAGGGCTGAGGAAGGGTTGTTGAGGTGGTTCGGACATGTAGAGAGAATGGAGCGAAACAGAATGACTTCAAGAGTGCATCAGTCTGTAGTGGAAGGAAGGCGGGGTAGGGGTCGGCCTAGGAAAGGTTGGAGGGAGGGGGTAAAGGAGGTTTTGTGTGCGAGGGGCTTGGACTTCCAGCAGGCATGCGTGAGCGTGTTTGATAGGAGTGAATGGAGACAAATGGTTTTTAATACTTGACGTGCTGTTGGAGTGTGAGCAAAGTAACAGTTATGAAGGGATTCAGGGAAACCGGCAGGCCGGACTTGAGTCCTGGAGATGGGAAGTTCAGTGCCTGCACTCTGAAGGAGGGGTGTTAATGTTGCAGTTTAAAAACTGTAGTGTAAAGCACCCTTCTGGCAAGACAGTGATGGAGTGAATGATGGTGAAAGTTTTTCTTTTTTCGGGCCACCCTGCCTTGGTGGGAATCGGCCAG